TGAAAATAATAATAATTAAATGAAATTTGGCCAAATGTGTAATTATCCGGAAATATGTTAATTTATGTAATTACGCACATTTTAATTATGCCAATTCGAGAGGTAATCGTATTAATTATGCGAGTGGGTGTAATTATGATAATGCAAGTCGTTATGATAACCAGACCCCGCCTCGGTGATGAGGGTGGGTTATCGATCGGAATAAGGCAATTAATCGTATGCAGTTATGCAGGTGTGGTGTAAGTATGCAAGATTAACTTAGATTAACTCGGCATCGTTGTCTAGGTTCGTCTCATTCTCGCTTTAACATTCCCAGAGTGTGTATTCGTGGTTATATTTTAGGTCCCCGGTTCACCCCGTTATCGCTTTAACATTTACTGAGTATGTGTTAGTGTGTTTATTAAGGTCACCAAGTTCAGATCTCAACGCAGAAGCAGATCTTATGCATAGATTTCAGGAAAGAATCACACAACCACTTCTGTATTGATCAATTTATTACTAATTCAACCTTAACTATGATATAGTATGCGAACTCTCAATCCCGGAACGTCAACACGGCATCAATACAGTATCATCAACGATTGTCTGATTTCACTTTGACAACGGCACATGGATCCCGCATAACGCGATGGTTGTTAGTGAGAGAGAGAGTCGTTAAAATATGCAAATACTATGCTAAGAAAACCTTAACGTTAATGAATGATTATACTCAATTTTGTTCACGCAGTACCGCACTCCTTATTGATCATACGCAACCCTTATCACGTTGTTAGCACCTTGGGTCACGGGACAGTTGAATATTCTGTAGAGGATGCGAGTACGTGCGGCGATTATGACTGAAAGATACTTGAAAGATTATACGGCGATAAAAAAAACACAATCAAAAACAGTTATTATTCTTAAAGGCATCAATCTCAACAGATACATCGGCAGGTTATCTGACAACAGAACGGCTCGGAGTAAGGGCCTGCGACGGTGCTCCTTTTCCGAAGATCGTTATCTTATACCAAGTTTACTAATTGGGGACCAGATCACCTGATAAGGATCCGGTGGGCCACCACTCCCCACGTGAGCGTGGCTCGGCGGAAGGAGGTGCCAAAAATCAGTTCGTATTGATGGATCTGTTGGGAATTTATGCGATTAAGAGTACAGCCCACTAAATATTAAAGATAAAAATTACGAATACTTTTATAAACGACGGATGGCCATCACTCGGTCTCGTTGTGATGCCTTCCCAGCCACGGATGGCTTATGGGTTCGAGTGTGTTTGAGTGGTAAGAGTTGTCTTGAATAGTCAGTGTTCGGAGTCGATTCTTTATGTCAAACAGACGCCTGGTGGTCGTGTGGTGAGGGGGCGGTGCGCGTCATACGTATCAGTCGCTCCCCTGTCACCGTGGGGAACTGGTTCGGATGCCCGTTGATACGCTGTCGCAGTTCGGAACCCGGTCGGTAGGTGGCGCCCACAACTCGCTCGCAGCGTGCAGTGGTGGGGTCGTCGTGTGCACGGAGCCTCGTCGCCAAAACCGCGACCCTCGCCACTCCGGCGGCAGCAGAGACCTCCGACTCGGCAGAGGTTGACCCACGCAGGCCGAGTTGAGCTGTCAAGCGGGTCTTGCCCGCCTGCAGAGGAGATGGGGAGCCGCTTGAGTCGAGCCCCGAGAGCCGGCTTTGGCAAGCCGATCGAACTCGGCTGAGTCCCAGACGAGCTGAAGATGAGTCGAGCCGACCCGCTGGTCGCAGCTCGCTCCTGAGTCGACCCGCTGGTCGCACCCCCCACGTGAGCCGACCCGCTGGTCGCACTAATTTCCAATGCTCAGGATCCTTTCCTTTATGCCGAAAAATCCCCCTGGATCCCGCCCACAAGGCGGGGCTTCTTTTCGATTTTTGCTGTGTCAGGATCTGTCCGTAGGCAGGTGTGTCCATGTGTGTGTCCGTACGTCCGTATGTCCTTGTGTGCATCACTCACGGTATTCCGTTGTCACACTCCCTCCATAAAACCCACGAGCAAACAATCAGATGTTACAAATTGCCTCGAGGTCGTCTCTCTGTCTGGGTGCAATATTATCTCTTGTCTGGCCTTCTTCATGAACCCAAAACACAGACGTTACAAATCGTCTCATAGGCGTCTTTGTTCGTGTTGCACCACCTGGAGGGAGGGGCAACACTCTCTCCGACCCGGCGCACAAAGAAATGGTTAAGAAGTTTTAAGTTAACATTTGTCCCTTACTATTTCACAGTTATGATTCTGTATGTAACCTAAGGTCTGTCGTTTCCCATCGTGGTGCTTGACTCAAGTGGAGGTGTTTCCCCGAGCGTATACACACTCCTATCCCGCGCTGCGGAGATACAAAGACGGCCGGGATCTCCCTTTCTCTCCGACCCTGGGTTTAACATCGTTTTTTTATTATGTATTTATATTCGACCTGGTGGTGATTCATCCCGTTATCCTGGCTTTTCATAAGTTTTACTTTTGTCTTTTCATGCATATGCTTCGGGTCGAGTTGTATAGAAAGCATTAAAGTATGGAAATAACATTTCATATTGACTTAATGATGGTGATGGTTCAGTAGGCGTACTTGTGACCTGGTTTAATTGGAGTGGGTGTGAATATCAAACTTTAGCCTACCCTGTTGTTAAATTCCGACTTTAACGTTACTTTAATAGCAATACAGAATAATTGAGCTTTTTGTCTTAACTAGGCGAACGCGAACTTCTGGTGACCCCCGCAGCCTTGTTGTTCAGCTGGGTCTGCATCCTTGAGAGATATACAACCCTCTTATTCTCGTCTCACCGTGGCCATCACCTTCTGCTCTGGGAGTGTTATTCTTAATTTCAGGTCCAGGGCCCCCTCACGTTCAGACGTGCAGGGTTGTTTAAATCAGCTCCCTCCCCTGTGCACACAGCCTTGAGCTGACCCACTTAATTTAATTTCTTGGCCTTCTTGGGTTTATCTTTGCTCCCTCAGCTGCAGGAGGACAAGGCGTACTTCTACCTCCCCCCCTGTGTGCACGTGTTCCAACTAGCTCGGAATCCCTAAACACACAATCAGTGATGATTCCTGGCTTTCTGTGGTTGTGATTTAGACAAAGGCGCCTCTGTTTTCTTCCATTGCCTTTGAGTCGACACTGCCCTATTATTTGCCCATGTGCTGAGGTCATAGAATTCGTTTTGACTTCAGTAATATTAACATTCAGTATTGGATTAGCAAATGGGCAATGGTTCATTGATGTAGCTCGCAGCCTGGTCTCCAATTTGAGCGAGCGCGAGGATCGATACTTTAGCCTACTCTGTTGTTGAATTTCGAATTTTGACGTTACTTTAAAACCATGCAGGATGGTTGGGCTTTTTGCCTTAACTATGTCTGGCTGACACTCCCACTGTCTCTGCCGCCTGCACGGGTGACATGTGCCCGTTCATCAGGCCTTATCTTTCCTTGAAGCAAGGTTGCAAATTCTGCCATCCTAGCCCTCCTCCAGTTCATCACTTAACAACACCTGGTGTTTTGCAGTTTGCTGCGCTTTGGTGTGTTTAAAAACAAGTAAAAAGATAATATATAAAAATCATCAAATATTATTAATCTCAATTTTGGAGGAAGGGTTAGTATACAACAACACTCGGGCGTGCACACGCACAGATCCACACCTGGATGGGATGGCACACACGCTCGGGTGTGCACACGCACAGATCCACACCTGTATGGGATGGCACGCACACTCGGGTGTGCACACGCACAGATCCACACCTGTATGGGATGGCACACACGCTCGGGTGTGCACACGCACAGATCCACACCTGTATGGGATGGCACACACACTTGGGCGTGCACACGCACAGATCCACACCTGGATGGGATGGCACACACGCTCGGGTGTGCACACGCACAGATCCACACCTGGATGGGATGGCACACACGCTCGGGTGTGCACACGCACAGATCCACACCTGGATGGGATGGCACACGCGCTCGGGTGTGCACACGCACAGATCCACACCTGTATGGGATGGCACACACGCTCGGGTGTGCACACGCACAGATCCACACCTGTATGGGATGGCACACGCGCTCGGGTGTGCACACGCACAGATCCACACCTGTATGGGATGGCACACACGCTCGGGTGTGCACACGCACAGATCCACACCTGTGTGGGATGGCACACGCGCTCGGGTGTGCACACGCACAGATCCACACCTGTATGGGATGGCACACACGCTCGGGTGTGCACACGCACAGATCCACACCTGGATGGGATGGCACACGCGCTCGGGTGTGCACACGCACAGATCCACACCTGTATGGGATGGCACACACGCTCGGGTGTGCACACGCACAGATCCACACCTGTATGGGATGGCACACGCGCTCGGGTGTGCACACGCACAAATCCACACCTGTATGGGATGGCACACGCGCTCGGGCGTGCACACGCACAGATCCACACCTGTATGGGATGGCACGCGCACTCGGGCGTGCACACGCACAGATCCACACCTGTATGGGATGGCACGCACACTCGGGCGTGCACACGCACAGATCCACACCTGTATGGGATGGCACGCACACTCGGGCGTGCACACGCACAGATCCACACCTGTATGGGATGGCACACGCGCTCGGGTGTGCACACGCACAGATCCACACCTGTATGGGATGGCACGCACACTTGGGCGTGCACACGCACAGATCCACACCTGTATGGGATGGCACGCACACTCGGGCGTGCACACGCACAGATCCACACCTGTATGGGATGGCACGCACACTCGGGCGTGCACATGCACAGATTCACACCTGTATGGGATGGCACACGCGCTCGGGTGTGCACACGCACAGATCCAAACCTGTATGGGATGGCACGCACGGGCGCGCAAGGGCACGCGCGCTCGGACGACCACACCGCCTCCTCGTGTTCCGTGCGCGGCCCGACAGCCTGTGCTGGCTACGGGGGGGGGACCTTCACCTCTGAGTTGCGTGTTCGCTGGGCCACCCCATGCCACAGGGCCCCTGGCCGGGCGCCAGCCCCTCCCGCTGCTCCGTCGGCCCCCTGCTAAGCGCCAGCGGAGCCGTCACCCCGCTCGGCTGCCCCCACGGCTGCTCCAGCGCCGGCGTGGCGAGCCCCCCTCACCTGGCGAGCGGGCTGGCGAGCGGGCTGGCGAGCGGGCTGGCGAGCGGGCGACTGGCGGAGGACGCGTGGGTGAGGAGGACTCTGATGACGCAGCTGGACGAGCTCAAGGGCGAGCGGCAAACGTCGGCGCGGGTGAGGGCTCCGCCGCGTGTCAGTGAGTGTCTCTCCGTGTGCGCGTGGGGAGCGGAGGTGCACCGGTTAGCGTGCTGCGCTACGAGCCCAGACGAGTTCGATTTCAACACCGGTGACGATCATCTGAACCGTTACCTGGGCCTCCTCCTAGGTCGATTCCGCCTCAAATGAGTAATTGGGGTGAGGTGTGGACATCGGGCGTGATGTTGGCCTACACACCCCTGCAGGCCTTCTTCAGAGGGGCTCGCGAAACTGCACTTACCCCAACAGTCTGTCCAGGCTATACGGGGATCGTCGTTTTTTATGTTACGCATGCATGTGTGTGTCCCTACGTCTCAGTGTATCTCCACGCATAACGTTTATTCATGTTTAGTTGCAAATATATGCATATGTAGCGTCGTTTATGCAAAGAGCATCTCTCAATCGCCGACGAACCACAGACGAGCTGGAATTCAGCAACCAGACAATGAGCCGGCGCTATCAACACATTTCCCAAGCTCTGCGATCCTCTACATATTAAGATGTTTTCAGCCAATTGTGCGTGCAAAGGGGGCAACCCTTTATCCCACAAAGAAGGGGCAGGTGCACCGCCTTCAGGCGAGCCAGGGTTGGCCACCTGCTCCACGCCCACTTGCCTTCGCCATCTCTCGTGGTTTCGCGTTCCATCGCTGCACACAAGCTGATCTCGCCGCTCCTTCTCCGTGGCGGACGTGTCCCCTCCGGCGTGTCTTGAGCGGTGCACCTAGCCTGGCACAAAACGCGTTGTCCACCCACCACGCAGGAGAAGGAGCAGCTGTCGTCGCGAGTTCGCGCGCTGGAGGAGGCGTCCGCAGGGCTGCAGACGCGGGTTGGGGCGGCCGAGGGAGAGAGGGACCGACTGAAGCAGGTGTGGGGTGCCCGCTCAACCACTCGCTCGACCGCTCAGTCGCTCGCTCAACTGCTCACTCAACCGCTCACTCAACCACTCGCTCGACTGCTCAGTCGCTCGCTCAACTGCTCACTCCACCGCTCGCTCAACCACTCAACCACTCGCTCGACCGCTCACTCAACCGTTCGCTCGACCGCTCAGTCGCTCACTCAACTGCTCACTCAACCGCTCGCTCGACCGCTCAGTTGCTCGGGCAACCGCTCGCTCAACCGCTCGCTCGACCGCTCGCTCGACCGCTCAGTCACTCGCTCAACCGCTCACTCAACCGCTCGCTCGACCGCTCAGTTGCTCGGGCAACCGCTCGCGCAACCACTCACTCAACCGCTCGCTTGGCCGCTCACTCAACCGCTCGCTCGACCGCTCAGTCGCTCGCTCAACCGCTCGCTCGACCGCTCAGTCGCTTGCTCAACCGCTCGCTCGACCGTTCAGTCGCTCGCTCAACCGCTCAGTCGCTCGCTCAGTCGCTCGCTCAACCGCTCGCTCGACTGCTCAGTCGCTTGCTCAACTGCTGGCTCGACCGCTCCCTCAACCGCTCGCTTGACCGCTCACTTAACTGTTCACTAGCTCAACTGCTCGCTCGCTTCCCCCCTCGACCACCCACTTACCGACCGCACACCCCTCTTGGGCTCCACTCTCGTCCAATCGGCGGTTGTTCCTCCGCTCGTCCACGCCACCATCCTCGCTTCTGCGCTGTTCTCGTGTCCGTGCTAAGCCGGCGCTGCTGCTGCTGCGCCCCCGCCCCCCCATTGCCCCCCCCCCACCCCGTAGGAGAGGGACGAGCTGAGCAAGCGAGCCGAGACGCTGGCGCACGACGCGGAGTCGGGGGCGCGGCAAAAGTCCGGGCTGGAGGCAGAGCTGGCGGAGAAGGCCGCGGAGCTGGCGAGGGTGAAAGGTCGCGCGGAGCGAGTGGAGGAGGAGAGGGCCCGCGCCGTGGAGGAGCTGCGAGCACTGCAGACGGTACCCACCTCCGATTAGCGTGGTTGGTTACGTATGGTGCAAAAGAAGTTTAACAAGCATACATACAACATACATACAACATACATACAACATACATACAACATACATACCCGGGGTCACGCGGCGCCATCCCCTCCGCGTTTTACACCGAAGTGACTCGGCTAAAGATTGTAATCGGCCCCAACTTTGTTGTCCATTACCTGGATGACTTTAAATGGTGGCGGTTGTGCGTACGTCCTGCCTCCGACGACGTCACTAAGCCCCGCCCATCACCTCCCGTCCAGCGGCACAAGTTTTAACACGTGTTATCCGACCGGCTGAGTGATCAAGCCGATAATCGGTAGCGTATCGGATAGCCCAGCCCCTATACAAAATCATAATCTTTATTTACACTGGAGGAGGAATCCGATGAGCTATGACGCTCTTCATAGCTCAGTAAAGAAAAAAAAACTTCCGGCCTTCGAGCGTAGGGGCACGTGGCCACTGCTGTACAAACTTCACGGCAGTGTAATGGGGCAATCAACGTAGAAGTTGGGAATGGAGCCCGAGGCAAGGTAAGCGATGTAGACGCGATGGGGAAGAGGAGATTGTGATCGAGGAGGCACCGGGACAGGATGGAGGAGGGCAGCTGACCGAGATGGGCACAACAGTCGTGTCTTCCTTGTTGTGCCGCCCCCTCAAAGTGCCGCCTCTCCTCTGCGCTGTCCCTTGTTGCGGTGTCCCTGACGTTGCTGCTGTTGTGCCAATATTGTTATAACTCTTTGTGTTGCGCCGCTCCCATCGTGTTATCGCGTTGTGCCGCCCTCCCCTCCTCCCCAGGCCCGTTTCTGTAGCTGTCCCCTCACACCTCCCCCCCTCTGACGCCTCCCCACCCCTCCCCTAATCCCTCCACTCCCCGTGCCGGCGCAGGTCCGCGAGCGCCAGTCCGCGGAGGTGTCGGACCTGCGCCAGAAGCTGGAGACGGAACGGGAGCGGCTGCTGCGGCACGAGGCGGAGGGGCGGCTGGCGGGGGCGCGCGCCGGTGCGCTGCAGGGCGAGCGGGACCGGCTGCTGGCCGAGAAAGAGCTTGCCGAGAGGGAGCGGCGCCAGCTGCAGGGCCAGCTGGATGCGCTGCGCGACGCGCACGAGAGCACGAGGCATGTGTCTACCCCCTTACCCCCCCACCCCCCTCACCCACTCCTCCGCCACCCCTTGCGCCGCCGTGATCTCCGTTTTGCCGAGTCTGAGTTTGGTCATGAGGATCTTTGTGCAACTCGCCGCGTAGTTCAACTTCACGTGGCAGCTGTGTCGGGTGGTGGAGGGGTTTTAGACACAAGTTTGACCGGATCATTACGTGGCCTAACCCCAAATATGAATAATGGGTCGGTTTTCATGATACGGTATGAGGTCCTCCATCTTACGTGGTCCCGTAAGATGGAGGATCTCGATGGCGAGGCTGACGAATGCGTAGCAGACGCTCGTTTACCACACGTACGGACTCTGTGACTTCAAACGCAGATTTTGACGATGCAATTATCGTGACGTCAGTTTCCCGTAACTTTGCGTTTCGCACGTTTAACCATTTTCTACTCGAGTTTGAAGGCGTTGATGCATGAGCTGCATCCGTCTGTAACACGGGGTCACGATAACTCCAATGCGAATTGCATTTTAGCATCGAATTGCGTCGCTATTGGGGGACATGCATTCACACTCCAGCCCAAGGCCGTTGGCAGTGGCAGCAGGCACAGTGGCAAAGGGGCGGCTCAAAGCTTGACAATAAAAAACCAGTGCTAAAAGACTGAGAAGACTCGTCGGCAAAGACGATGATGTCACACGCGGTGTTTGCCTTCCGACGATTTCATTTCTGCGTCGTCACGTTGCGCGCCACGTGAAGTCACCGCGTGCGTCTCGAAAGGTAACGGCATTCATCGTCACCAGCCACGATCAATCCACTGCTGGATGAAAGGCTGAGGCCCCATGTCGCCGCCATTCGTCGCTGACGAGTAGCTGCTGACGACCGTGACGATGATAACGACGTTGTCCCGTCGCCCGGCCACGTCCCGTGCGCAGGACGGCGCTCGCGGAGTCGCAGGCACGCTGCTCCGAGCTGGAGTCGCGCGTGCACGAGCGAGCGGAGGGACAGGCGGTGACGCCGTCGGCGTCAGCGTCGCCATCGCCGTCACGCCTCGGTAGAACCCAAGACCTGGACGGCGGTGATGCGGAGGCAGCGATGGAGGCGGAGTGGCGTGCGCGGTGCGAGGAGGCCAACATCGTGGTGGAGACCAGGGAGGCCGAGCTGCAGCTGGCAACGATGCAGGTGTGTGTGCAGCGGTGTGTGTGCAGCGGTGTGTGTGCAGCGGTGTGTGTTCAGCGGTGTGTGTGCAGCGGTGTGTGCGTGTGATAGGGTAGTGCAACGGTCAGTGCACCGCACTACGAACCCAGCGAGCCGAGTTTGATTCCCGCTCATGGCCAACACCACTGATGATTATCTGAATCGGTTCTGGGCCTTCCCTAGGTCGAATCAGCCTCAAATGAGTACCTGGTGCGATGTTTAAACATCACTACTGGGGAGACAAAGGCGGCCGGGCGTGGTGCTGGCCACCCACCCCCTCGTGTGCCATGGCGGCCTTCATAGGTGCTCGCTAACAGCACTTGCCTCAACAGTCTGTTAAGGCTATACGGGGGATCTTTGTCTTTATGTGTGCGGAGCGGCGGCACGGCGATAAGCACACTGTGATACAAACTCGCTCACAACTGATAACGGTGGCGAATATCTGTACCTGTACTTGCCCTCTCTTAGGTCGCCTTCAATGAGTACCTGAATGTGTTGTGTAAACATCATCACTCGGGAGGCAAAGGCAACCAGGCATGGCCCTGGCCACACCACCCCCTCATGCGCCATTCTGAGTTTCATAGGTGCTTGCTAACGGGACTGGCCCCAACAGCCTGTTGGCTAACCATCGAACAAAGGCGGTCACTGCATCGCACGCTTTCAGATGCGTGGCCGTCTGGAATGCTCTTCCTTCCGATTTTAGTAAGCCACTGGAGCTATGCACTTATAAATCGTCTAGATTAAAAACTAATTTCTTTTGAACTGCTTTGTGTTTAGTTTGTTGTCCTTCCCCCGTACCTCCCGATTAGCACGGTTGGTTACGTACGGTGCGAAAGAAGTTAAACATACATTCGTGCAAGGCTATCGGGGTGATCTTTCTGTTTCGTGTGTAGTTGTGTGTGGGTGCGCGTGTCGGCAGGTGCCACGTTGGCCTCGGTGGGCGCTCGCTCACAGCGCTTTGTGCTCGTGCAGGTGCGGGAGCTGGAGGAGGAGTGTCGCAGGCTGCGAAGTCAGGCGCAGGAGCACAGAGACGCGCAGCCACACCTGGGCAGGTGCGGGTCACGCACAAAGACAAAGATCGTCGCCCCCCCCCCCCCCCCCGTATAGTCTTCACGGACTGTTGGGTTGGGGCAAGTGAGGATAGCGAGCGCCTACAAAGACCGGAACGACGGCACACGAAGGGGTGGGTGGTCAGCACCACCTCCAATTAGCACGGTTGGCTACGTACTGTGCGGAAGAAGTTCACCATACACGGAGCACGCCCGAGTGCTGATGTTTACACACTGCACGAGGTACGCATTTGTATATATGTCTGTTGAACTTCTTCCGCACCGTATGTAGCCAACCGTGTTAATTGGAGGTGCATTTGAGGCTGAGTCGACTTAAGGGAGGCTCAGGACAAGTTCAGACAATCATCGATGGTGTTGGACAGTACTCGGGTTGCTGGGTTTGTAGTGCAGTGCCCTAACCACTATACGTCCACTCCCCACACGAAGGCACGCCAATCACATCCGTGCGTGTGCATGATTGTTCTTGGTTTTCCCTCCCATGCGTTGAACCGTCCACGCGCGCCCTCTCGCTCTCCCCACGCCGGCCGGCGCCCCGCAGCGCAAGCGCCGGTGACACCGGGGAGGAGGTGGAGTCGCTGCGGCGCCGACTCGGCGAGAACCAGGAGCTGCAGCAGCAGCAGGAGAAACTCATCGCCACTCTGAGAGAGGTCAGAGGTCAAAGGGGTTGGGGGCTGGGGCGGAGGCGGCGGCGGTGCCATGCTTTCGTCCTTTGTGTCTTTGTGCCTCCAAGTCTCCGTTTCTGTGTCTTTGTGTCTCCGTGTCTTTGTGTTTCCGTGTCTCTGTGTCTCCATTTATTTGAGTCTCTGTGTCTTTGTGTCTCCGTGTCTTTGTGCCTCTCATGTCGTGTGTGTCTTTGTGTCTCTGTGCTGCACAGGAGCTGGAGGAAGCGATGATGAAACGGCCGCATGAAATTCGGGTGAGATGGTGTCGTGCGTGTGGGCGCACATGTGGGCGCCTGTGTGCGTGCGTGTGTGTGCGTGAGTGTGTGTGCGTGAGTGTGTGTGCGTGAGTGTGTGTGCGTGAGTGTGGGCGCGTGTGTGGGCTTGTGTCTATAGGTGTGGAGAGCGGTGGCACAGTGGTTAGCGCACTGCCCTATGAACCCTCTCATGGCCACCATCGATGATTAATATCTGAACCGGTCCTTGGTTTCCCTCTCCTCGGTAGGTCAACTCAGCCTTAAATGAGTACCTTGTGCAATGTGTTAACATGAGCATTGGGGAGACAAAAGCGGCCGGGCGTGGTTCTAGCCACACCACCTCCTGGTTCACCATGCCAGCCGTCATAGGTGCTTGCTAACAGCGCTTGCCCCAACAGCCAGTGTAAGCTACACGGGAGGGGTCTTTGTATAGACGTGGGAGTGTGTACGCGTGGGTGTGTATGGGTGTGCACGCATGGGTGCGTGCGTGTGTACATGTGGGTGCATGTGTGTGTACGCGCGGGTGTGTACGCGTGGGTGCGTGTACGCGTGGGTGCGTGTGTATGGGTGTGTATGCATGGGTGCATGTGTATGCGTGTGGTTGCCCGTGTGCGAGCAGCATTCTCTAGACGAGCTGGACGGGGAGCTGAGCGTCGTCCGTGCGGAGATGGAGCGCGTGTGGGACGAGCTGCGGAGCCGCGATGCTGCCCTGGAGGACCAGCAGCTGGAGCTGACCTCCACGCGCGCCCAGGTCGGCTGAGTCGCGAGGTTTTGGGTCAACTTGGTCACAGGGAGCTGGGTAGGTAGGGTCATAGGGTCCTGGGTGGGCCAAGTCACGGTGTCATGGGTGGGTCGGGTCATGGGGTCATGGGTGGGTCGGGTCATGGGGTCGTGGGTGGGTCGGGTCATGGGGTCCTGGGTGGACCACATGATGGTCACCAGGATAGCCAGGTCATGGTCACAGAGGTCAAGGAGCCGCATGGTCGACGTGTCCTTTCACTCCTCCCTCCGCCAGCGTTACATTGTCTCGCATTTTGTCTCCCTGCCACTGCTGTTCCCCACCCCGCTCCGTTTCCATGATAACCGTCAGCTGGCGGGCTGCAGTGCGGAGAGACGAGGCCTGGAGCAAGAGGTCGCGACCTTACGGAGGGAGCTCGCTCACAAGTAAGCGGCGAACGCGTCCGCATCAATCCCACTCACTCCCACTCATACTCTACTCCCACTCACTCCCGTTCACACTCCACTCCCGCCTCACTCCCGCTCACACTCATTCACACTCCACGCTCGCTCACACTCCACTCGCGTGAGCCGACTGCAACCCGTCGCGAGCGACTCTGTGTCAGACGTAACGGAAGGAGGGATCGTCGTTTTGTCCAATCCCACTGAACTCTCGACTCTCCGCGAGCGGATTCACGCGGGTTGCACATTAACCGTGCTCGCGAAAAGCACAGTGAGGTGTTGACGCGCGTGCTGCTCCCCGCTCGTCGCGCGTCGGTGACTCGGGGGCTACGCGGCAGCACGAACCTTGTCCACAACTACACCGACGCCCTCGGCTTCTTTACCCCCATTTAACCTACAATAACCAAGGAATGTTTTAACATCCTTATTCACGTGTGTTTTGCATGATGTGTGTTTTTTCTTTTATTTGGGCCTCACCCCTCCTCCACCATCCCCTCCTCTCCCCGTTAGCCCGAGCGATCGAGAGTTGACTGAGCGGCCAATCGTCTTGGCGACTGCGCGTAGCGGGATTCCATTTGTCGTGCGATACGAGTTGTTGCTCGTGTACCGGGCCTCAAGCCTCAGGCCTCAGGCTCGGTCGCTTGTGTCCGTGCTCCTGTACGGGCGGCATGCACCAGAAGCAAACACACGCTTGTTTCGTCCCGTCAGTAATGTTTAAAATCGAACGTCGAGGGACGTCGAGGATTGTCGAGTCGGCAGGAAGCGGCCGGCCGGTGGGCCCAGCCCGACCGGCCGCTTTACTGGCCCGGCTTCGTGCTCTTAGAGCTCGTCGGCGATCCGCAGCCCACTGACGCGGTTGCCGGGCGGTGCTTGCCACTGTGCGCGCGGCCGCAGGGAGGAGACGTGTGGCAGCAGGGAGCGGGCGCTGGCAGCTGAGAAGACCCAGCTGACGGTGAAGCTCACGGCGCTGGAGATGAAGGTCGGTGCTCGGGGGCACCGCCGCCGCGGCGTTTGGGTTTAGCGGTTTGCGTTTGGCGGTGGGGACTTCCCTCACCGCCCACCCGCATGCCCTCTCTGCCAGGTGTCGGAGAGGGAGATGCTGGAGGAGAGCCGGGCGCGCTCGGGCTCCACGCTCTCGGAGAAGCTGGAGAGGTAGCGCCGCTCGCATGCCGGGCGGCACGTGCCCACCGCCACCAGCGCCCCGGTCCAGCGGTGACACCGTGCGTGCCTGTGTCCGTGCGTGCCTGTCGAGTTCTGGCCACAACTCCCACACGTGCGCCGTTCCGGCCTTAATAGGTGCTCGCTAACAGCACTCTTCCCCAACCAGTCCCCGTAGGCTGCACGTGAGATCTTTGTGTGTTGTGTGTGCGCGTTTGTAGCGTACGTCGTAGTGCTTGCGAGGGAGCTCGTTGTATCACATGAGCTGCGGGAGTTTCCTGTGGCCAGTGATTGATTATTATAAGAGGACGTTCCAGTCTGGATTCCGTCTGGTTCCTAGCGCACGGTGCGCTATTGCTCTCCTTGTCACTCACTCATCAACTCCATCTCTGGCCAAAGTCAATTCCTGTTGTTTGCTCGCTTGTCGAGCGGCGTTTGTTGGTGGTGTCATCATTTTCCTCGACAGCCTCAGATTTGAGACCGTTTATGCGTGGCTCTCCGTGTGGCTCACTCCGTGTGGCTCACATCTTAGACAATGGGTGCCCTCCGCACCCCCCCCACCCCCACCCCCCCACTGCGACCGCCCCCGCTGCCCCACCCCCGATTCTGAGACCAGCAGCGCTTATTCTCTTTGGCTTTTGTTTCTCCGAATCAGCTTCTCTTTGTCTGCGCAGTGGGGTTCCTCCCCTTGCCCTGCCGTGTCGACACTTGCGACGAACGGCGAGCGCCTTGACCAGCTCGTGGCGAGGCGGCTTGCGGACGCCACTTATTGCCGTGGCGGAATGGGAAAGCGTCACTGCGTCTCTTCGGCAGGGTTCTGCTGCGTTGGCCGGTTTGGCTGTGGGGGGTTTATCGAATGGGATGAACCCGGAGAATCCGGCGGAAACCTGTGCAGAACAGGGGGAGAAAATACACATTCATACACATTCATACACATTCATACACACTCAAAGACAAAGATCCCCCGTATAGCCTTAAGAGACTGTTATGGCAAGTGCTGTTAGCGAGGACCTATGAAGGCCAGCATGGCCCACGAGGGGGTGGGTGGCCAGCACGACGCCCAACCACCTTTGTCTCCCGAGTGGCGATGTTTACATATCTCAAAAAGGTACTCATTTGAGGCTGAGTCGACTTAGGGGGGGCCTAGGACCGGTTCAGATAATCGTCAAAGGTGTTGACCATGAGCGGGAATCGAACCCGGGTCGCCAGGTTCTAAGCGTAGTATGCTAACCGCTACACTGCACATACACACACATACACACACATGCACACACATGCACACATAATCACACACACATACACAAACATACACACACATACACACACATACACACACATACACACACATGCACATTTCACCCATAGTGCCTATGCATATTTTGCGAGTGTTTATATCGTATATGTATAGAAACTGTATATAGTACACGCATTGGTATTGTAGTGTGCATATGTGTGCATGCATGTGTGTGTCTATAGCGCGTGCGTGCGCGTGCGTGCGTGTGCGTGTCAGCCTTGAGCGCGAGAACCGGGAGTTCCGCCAGCGCCACAACAAGGCCCGGGCCCAGGCCGAGGATCTGGCGGCCAAAGTGCAGGGTGACAACTCGCCGCTATCCCACCACCACCACCGCCACCACCACCACCGCACCGCCACCGCCACCTCGCCACTACCTCATCACCAGCTCCCACCCTCGTTGCTATCCCACCACCACCACCACCACCACCGCACCGCCACCTCATCACCAGCTCCTCGCCTCATCGCTATCCCACCACTGCCCCGCGTGCTCTTCTCAACTTGGCAGGTCCTCGCTAACAGCACTTGCCCCGTCAGTCTATCCAACAACAAGGGAGATCTTTTGTCTTTGTCCGTCCGTCCGTCCGTGCGGATCGCAGATCTGTCGCGGCTGAACCTGGCACTGCAGGAGGAGCGCGACCACGCGCAGCGGGAGCTGCGGCAAATCTGCAGCGGCTTCCAGGTCGTGCGGCGCTCCCGCCCGGGAGGGACACCCTCGCTCGGCGCGCCGCTCTGCACGGGACTCGTGCCCAAACCTGACCCCCATATTGCGACACCGGCGTCACGGCGTCACGCGTGCGAACCCTCCATGTCGGAGAACTTCCCGCGGGAAGCGGATATCACAGAGCTGCTTCTGAGATGTATTAGATTGACCTTCTCTGCCCGTGCAGCAGGGGGCAGCGCATTGCCTGCTGTCCCGCCACGGAGAGAAATCTTTGTCCCGTGACGATCAAGCCGGAAGGAGCCAAATGTTAAGTGCGGCAGAAGTTTGGGGTCACGGAAGGAGGCGTTGAGTAGAGAACTTGATGTGTGTGTGTGCGTCCAGCGTGTGTGCAGCGTGCGTGCAGCGTGCGTGCAGCGTGTGTGCAGCGTGCGTACACGTGTATTTGTATGTGCGTGCTTGTTTGCATGTCTGTGCACGTGTGTGGGGATGGGTAGTGTCGCAGTTAGCGTGCTGCGCTACGAACCCGTCGAGCCGAGTTCGATTCCCATTCATGACCAATAAGAGTGGTGAATATTTAAACTAGTCCTGAGCCTCCCTTAGGTCAATTCAGTCTTAAAATTAGTACCTTTGTCTGTAAAAACATTGACACTGGGGAGTGGGAGGCATGGTGTTTGGCACCCACTCCCTTGTGTGCCGTGCCGGCCTTCATAGGTGTTCGCTCACAGCATTTGCCTCGACCGCCTGTTAAAGGCTACATGGGGGATCTTTGTCTTTCATTCGGTGGGTGCAGGACCTGCGGGACTCCACGGAAATTCAGAAGCTGCGCGTGCGGGAGTTGGAGGGAGTCACCCGGCATCTGCAGAAGGACGACCAACTCAAAACCACCCAGGTGGTCCACCCAACACCAACAACAACAATAACCGCCATTCACCACTAAGTGGCGGTAATATCACCAACGCACCTGCGCCTGGCTAGGTGCACGTGAAGTGTCAAACGCCCGCTGGCAGGAGGTCACGGGACAGACCCAGGTGCCATGGGTTGACTGATATGGCTGGCAGATGCACCACCTGTGCCTCCTATTGTGCCAACTTGCTGCGTCTTAGCCACCCGGCACTCCGCTAGTTGTTGTGAGCGTCACTCCTCCGCCCTCTGCTGTTGTTAAGAGGGTGACCGCCTCCAACTGCCCAGTAGCGTTCTTCACGAGCCTCCTCCACAGAGGCCGATCTTGACATCGTTGGTACCGGTCATCGTCAACTCAGCTCCACGTCCTCATGTGCCACATCACTCCATCTCTTCTCTAGCCCATGCCACACCCGTTTAGTCCCCTGTCTCCAGCTAAACAAAATCTGTTAGGGCATGCGGTGGCTGGGCATGCGGGCGACATGACCCAGTAAACGCAGCCTCGCCTGCCGGAGCAGCTCACCACCAGACCACGTCACTCGCAGTACCAGGCACCCCGCACTCGCTGGTCACACTCCAACACCACGCACGTCACACACCACAACACAGCTGGCACATGATGAGTTGACTAAACCAGTTGGTAATTCTCCCTCAGGATGTTTAGCACTCTGGGTTGCAGGATAATTGCCCTTTGCTCCTCCTAAATGCCCACTGAACCTGCCCTTACTACTCAGGTATGCCCTTCCCTTCGCTCGCCGTGCCCTGTAGTGCCGTGTCCTGACTTGACCCTGACCTAACCTTGACCGCTTCTTGAGATTTGGATGCATTTAGACGCTTTCATTATTGCCATCAGCAGCAGCCATTCTCAATCCACTGTTGGATGAAGGCCTCCCTGGGTCACGTCCAAAACTTCACCGCGCTCCCTGACCTTGACCGCGCGCGCCCTCTGACCCCGCCGTCCCACACCTCCTGCCCCCCCCCCCCCCCCCACATCGTCAGCTGACGGCGTTGGTGATCGAGCTGCAGGAGCTGCGCAAGGCCTACCAGACGGTGTCGGGCGCGGAGCCGAGCGGCGGGGACCCCTCGCACGCTGACTGGGTGTCACGCTCGCGCATCATCCGGGTACGCGCCGGGGGGGGGGGTCACGCGCGTGTGTGTGGTGTGTGTGTGGTGTCTGTGTGGTGCGTGTGTGTGTGGTGTGTGTGTGGGGTGTGTGTGTGCGGTGTGTGTGCGGGGTGTGTCTGTGTGGTATGTGTATGTGGTGTGTGTGTGGGGTGTGTGTGTCGTGTGTGTGGGGTGTGTGTGTGGGGTGTGTGTGGAGTGTGTGTGTGGGGGGTGTTTGTGGGGTGTGTGTGTGAGTGTAGGGTGTGTGTGTGGGGGGTGTCTGTGTGGGGTGTGTGTGAGGTGTGTGTGTGTGTGGTGTGTGTAGGGTGTGTGTATGGTGTGTGTGTGTGTGTGGTGTGTGTGTGGTATATGTGTGGTATATGTGTGTGGTGTGTGTGTGGTGTGTTGTACGTGTGTGGTGTGTGTGTAGTGTGTGTGTGTGTAGGGTGTGTGTGTGTGTAGGGTGTGTGAGTGGTGTGTGTGTGTGGGGTGTGTGTGTAGGGTGTGTATGTGGTGTGTGTGTAGTATGTGTGTAGTGTCTGTAGGGTGTGTGTCTGGTATGTGTGTGGTATGTGTGTGTGTGTTTGGTGTGTGGTATGTGTGTGGGGTGTGTGTGTGTGTAGGGTGCGTGTGTAGGGTGTGTGTGTATGTGGTGTGTGTGTTGTGTGTGTGGTGTAGTGTGTGTGTGTAGTGTGTGTGTGGTCTAGTGTGTGTGTGTAGTGTGTGGGGTGTGTGTGTGTAGGGTGTGTGTGGTGTGTGTGTGTAGGGTGTGTAGGGTATGTGTGTGTGTGTGTGTAGGGTGTGTGTGTAGTATGTGTGTGAGGTGTGTGTGTAGTATGTGTGTATGGGGTGTGTGTGTAGGGTGTGTGTGTGGGGTGTGTGTGGGGTGTGTAGTGTGTGTGTGTAGTGTGTGTGTGTGGGGTGTGTGTGTGTAGGGTGTGTGTGTGTAGGGTGTGTGTGTGTGTAGGGTATGTGTGGGGTGTGTGTGTGTAGGGTGTGTGTGTAGTATGTGTGTGTGTGTGTAGGGTGTGTGTGTAGTATGTGTGTGTAGGGTGTGTGTGTGGGGTGTGTGTGTAGTATGTGTGTGGGGTGTGTATGGGGTGTGTATGGGGTGTGTGTGGGGTGTGTGGGGTGTGTGTGTGGGGTGTGTGTGTGGGGTGTGTATGTAGTATGTGTGTAGGGGGTGTGTGTAGTATGTGTGTGGGGTGTGTGGTGTATGGGGAGTGGTAGTGTAGCGGCTCGCGCGCTACGTTATGAACCCGGTGAACCGGGTTCAATTCCTGCTCACGGACACAGTCAACGATGATTACCTGAACCGGTCCTGGGCCTCCCTTAGGTCAACTCAGCCTCAAAATTAGTACCTGGTGTGGTGTGTACACATTGCCACGAGGGAAACAAAGGCGGCCGGGCGTGATGCAGGCCACCCAGCCTCTCGTGTGCTGTGCCGACCTTCATAGGCGCTCTTGCCCCAACAGTCTGTTAGGCTATACAGGAGCCTAACAGACTGTTGGGGAGAGGCTCTCTCACAACAGTGGAGGGCAGAGGAGCGACGCTCACGACGAGCGGAATGCCGGGTGGCTAAAACACAGCAAGTTGGCACAGGTAGTGCATCGGCCAGTCATCTCAGTCAGTCGACCCATGGCACCTGCAGGGTCTGCATTGTGATCTCCTGCAGCGGGCGTTCGTGGCCTCAAAGTGCACATAGCCTGGCACAAGTGCCGTGGTGACGTCACCACCACTTCGTGGCCAACGGTGGTTGTTGCATGTGTGTGTGTGCGGCGCGCTCGCTAGAACGCGATCGAGGCCATCGAGGGGCAGGCGGGACGCGTGCGAGTGCTGGAGGAGGAGTTGCGGGCCGTGCGGGCCACGCCGGGGTTTGAGAGCCTGGAGGCCGAGCTCCAGCAGCTGAGGAAGGAGGCACAAGCAAACTCCAACAAGGCACGGGCGCCGTCAACACACGGCTCACGCGCCACGCGCACATACACAAGAGCACGCACACACACACACACCAGTACACAGCACTCGCACACCAAAATTATGCACCACTCGCACACACCACACACACCACTCACACACACACACCACACACACACACACCACAGACATACCACACACACACCACACACATACCACACACACACACCACTCACACACCACTCACACACACCACTCGCACACACACCACTCGCACACACACCACTCGCACACACCACTCTCACACACCACACACACCACTCACACACACCACACACACACCACACACACACCACTCACACACACCACAGACATACCAGACACACCACACACATACAACACACATACCACACACACACACCACTCACACACACACACCACACACACACCACACACACACCACACATACACCACTCACACACACACCACACACACACCACACACACACCACTCACACACACCACTCACACACACACCACACACACACCACACACACACCACTCACACACTACACACACACACACACACCACACACACACACCACACACACACCACACACACACCACACACACACCACTCACACACTACACACACACACACCACTCACACACACCACACCACACACCACACACCACACACCACACACACCACACACATACCACACACACACCACACACATACCACACACACACACCACTCACACGCGTACACACCACATCATTCTCCCCCCCCACGAGTGTGTAACCGCGGTGTGGGTGCTGGCGGGCGTCACTGCCGCCGTGCGCCGTGGTTCTGCGTGGCGCAGGTGACGGCCTTGGTGATCGAGCTGAAGCTGCTGAAGGAGAAAAACAAGAAGCTCATGAGAGGTACGAACACACACACACATATACACGCACGTACACGCACGCACACATACACACACGTACACGCACGCACACATACACACACGTACACACGTTCACACACGCACGTACACACACGCACGTTCACGCACGCACGTTCACACACGCACATACACGCACGCACACACGTTCACACACGCACGTACGCACACTCACGCACACACGTTCACGCACGCACACGCATGCACGCACACACACAACAGCCGCTGTTTGCCAATAAGTGGTGGAGATGTCACCATAGTGCTCCTGCCAGGACAGGTGCACCTTGAGGCCAGCAGGTAGAGTGTAGAAGGCTCATAGACAGGTCACGGGACAGACCCAGGTGCTGTGGGTTGACTGAGATGGCTGACAGATGCACCAGCTATGCTCTGCACTGTGACAACTCGCTGTGTTTTAGCCGCCCGGCGATTCGCTCATTGTTGGGAGCGTTGCTCCTCTGCACTCCGCTGTTGATGGAGGGCGCCTGCCTCCAACTGCCCAGTAGCGTCCTTCACGAGCCTCCTCCGCAGAAGCCGATCTTGACACTGCCGGTACCAGTCATCGGCAAGTCGACTCAGCTCCACATCTTCCTGTACTGCATCAGTCCTATCTGATGCAGTACGGTCCGTGCCGTTCCCGTTTAGCCCCCTCTATCCGGCCGAACAGAAACTGCTGGGGCACGCGGTGGCTGGGCATGTGACTACATGACCTAGCCAACGCAACCTCGCCTGCCGGGGGAGCTCACCGATGATGGGACTGCACACAAACACGCACGCGCACGTGGGAAGATGGGAAATGTGCTGGCACCGTGTCAGGGCGAGCGAGTCTTTCAACCAAGATATTCCTTTTGCGATCGTCTTGCAGACAAAATCCATCTGGAGCAGAGGTTGGAGGATGGCGGCCTGTCGCACGACTTGTCGCCCGACCTGTCATACGACCTCTCGCATGGGGGGAGGGGCAAGCAGGCGTGGGGCTCCACGCTCGCCGCCGAGGCGGGCGAACGCCCGTCCCAGCCGACGCAACTCCGCCCCGCCGCAGGGCCCGCCGCGACGTCGCCTCGCGAGGAGCGGCCCTCGCCGCTCCCCACGTCGGCGTCGTCGTCGCCGCGCACGGCGGTGGGGTCGGTGGGGTCGCAGGGGTCGCAGGAGTCACAGGGGGGGCGCTCCGGGGGGACCCCGCAGCCGATCGGACGCCCCCGCCACTCGAGCTTGTCCCCCGTCCGCCGCGCGGAGAAGGCGACGCGCGGTCACCGCGCGTGGCCTCGCCGCTCGCCCCTGTCTCACGAGGACTCAACGGAGGGGTCCCATCGAGAGGACCTCGTGGCCGGTAGGAGAAGCGATGGGGAGGAGGGTGAAGATGATGTTGGCGATGATGATGATGGTGATGAGGAGGATGCAGGCGGAGGTGCGATGTACAACACTGGGGAGTTTGGTCAGCTGCGCTCCACCCCGCTCCCTGGCTGGGGTTCCCGAGCTCCCGGCGTTCCGGTCGCTATCGCCCCTGGCAGGGGCCCCTGTGTCACCCCCTGAGGCCTGCGACCAGGCCGGCCGGACCGGAGCAGGTGTCTCCCAGGAGCAGTGAGATGGGTGCTAAATAAAGAAAAATGGGCTTAAGTAAAGATCGTTCAATGGGGGTGTGTGAAATGCTGCTGATGTGTTGTTTTCTGTTGATGTTGTTTGTTCACCATCGTCTTGTCCACGAGGGCGAGTTGGGTTAGAGATGTTGTAGCCCTGGACCTCGCTCTCATCTAATCCCAGCATAGCCATCGGGGGAATGTGGTCTCCTGCACAATGAGGACGTGGGTACCATGAGAGAGAGAGCTCCGACACAATGAGGACCTGGGACCAGTGTTAGGACTCCGCCTTAAACAACAGGATGGTTCGGTCCCATAGCGGAGACCCACACAATTGTGCACAGTGAGAAATCTCCAAACCGAGGACCTCCCAGTAAATGTGGGACGTCGGTCCAACATTTGGTCCCGACAGTACCGACAACATGCCGAAGGTTGGCCCAACGGCGCATGTTTACTGGGGCCGGTGGCTTGGAGACAGATCGACGCGGCTGAGGCCCCGAGCGCCAAGAGAGAGGTGTTCACGGTGAGGGATGGGTGTTCATGGTGAGGGATGGGTGTTCACGGTGAGGGATGGGTGTTCACGGTGAGGGATGGGTGTTCATGGTGAGGGATGGGTGTTCACAGTGAGGGATGGGTGTTCACAGTGAGGGATGGGTGGTCACGGTGAGGGATGGGTGTTCACGGTGAGGGATGGGTGGTCACGGTGAGGGATGGGTGTTCACGGTGAGGGATGGGTGTTCACAGTGAGGGATGGGTGTTCACGGTGAGGGATGGGTGGTCACGGTGAGGGATGGGTGTTCACGGTGAGGGATGGGTGGTCACGGTGAGGGATGGGTGGTCACGGTGAGGGATGGGTGTTCACGGTGAGGGATGGATGTTCACAGTGAGGGATGGGTGTTCACGGTGAGGGATGGGTGTTCATGGTGAGGGATGGGTGTTCACGGTGAGGGATGGGTGTTCACGGTGAGGGATGGATGTTCACAGTGAGGGATGGGTGTTCACGGTGAGGGATGGGTGTTCATGGTGAGGGATGGGTGTTCACGGTGAGGGATAGGTGTTCACGATGAGGGATGGGTGTTCATGGTGAGAGATGGGTGTTCACGGTGAGGGATGGGTGTTCACAGTGAGGGATGGGTGTTCACAGTGAGGGATGGGTGTTCATGGTGAGGGATGGGTGTTCACGGTGAGGGATGGGTGTGCATGGTGAGGGATGGGTGTTCATGGTGAGGGATGGGTGTTCACGGTGAGGGATGGGTGTTCACGGTGAGGGATGGGTGGTCGCGTCGCGTCGCACAATTGACGGCACAGGGTGCCCCTTAGCTCCCGATGTGAATGGAGGCGAAGGGGAATCACCCGGCCCTGGTCCCCAGGCCTCCCCGCACGAGTGGAGCGAGTCGGAGGGGAGCGAGTGCGAGCCCAGGGGTTGCTGTGTTGCACCGTTTGGGATGTTGTGTGCCACAAATATCTCGTCAGTTTATATGTACGCTATTGTGATTTTTTTTATAAATGTTTTTTTGTATGTAATGTTATTACAACTAGCAATGATTATAGAATTTGCACTCTTAAATAACATCCATGCGTGATTAATAATTATAAAATGTTTTGAGTAAAAAAATCTTATTTTTGTTTGAAGTGAATAAAGGTTTTATTTTATTTGTGCTCTTGAGATTTATTTTTCTAATTCTTGTGTTGAAGACAAAACTGCCTGGTGCCACATCAATAATAAAACAGTTCAATAATAAAACACGATTGAAACGGATGGGACCTGGATTCGAGCTCGCCTCTCTTCACGGTGAAACCACGTGTGCACACGAGGCAGTCCCTGTGCCACTCACAGCTGCTGCTGTCAATCCACTGCCAGATGAGGGCCTCTCGACCATACTTCACCACGTCGGTCATCGTCGCTTCTCGTGAAGGCGGACGGCGCAGTGGATGGTTCTGCAGCTCACCGCGTAGCCTCGCAGCAGTCTCAAGCAACTTCCTGTCGATGGTTTGTGTGATAAACGCTTTGATTTTGGATGTGCAGATTCGGATTTGTCGATGCTGTGCACTGTGGTCGCCCATCCGAGCACTGTCCCAGTCTCAACTCTGTCTCAGACTCAACTCTGTCTCAGTCTCAACTCTGTCTCAGTCTCAACTCCGTCTCAGACTCAACTCTGTCTCAGACTCAACTCTGTCCCAGTCTCAACTCTGTCTCAGCTCTGTCCCAGTCTCAACTCTGTCTCAGACTCAACTCTGTCTCAGACTCAACTCTGTCCCAGTCTCAACTCCGTCTCAGACTCAACTCTGTCTCAGACTCAACTCTGTTTCAACTCTGTCCCAGTCTGAACTCTGTCTCAGACTCAACTCTGTCTCAGACTCAACTCTGTCTCAGACTCAACTCTGTCTCAGCTCTGTCCCAGTCTCAACTCTGTCTCAGACTCAACTTTGTCTCAGACTCAACTCTGTCTCACACTCAACTCTGTCTCAGCTCTGTCCCAGTCTCAACTCTGTCTCAGACTCAACTCTGTTTCAACTCTGTCTCAGTCTCAACTCTGTTTCAGACTCAACTCTGTTTCAGACTCAACTCTGTCTCAACTCTGTCTCAGTCTCAACTCTGTCTCAGTCTCAACTCTGTCCCAGTCTCAACTCCGTCTCAGACTCAACTCTGTCTCAGTCTCAACTCTGTCTCAGCTCTGTCTCAGACTCAACTCTGTCCCAGTCTCAACTCTGTCTCAGACTCAACTCTGTCTCAACTCTGTCTCAGTCTCAACTCTGTCTCAGACTCAACTCTGTCTCAGACTCAACTCTGTCTCAGCTCTGTCCCAGTCTCAACTCTGTCTCAACTCTGTCTCAGACTCAACTCTGTCTCAGCTCTGTCCCAGTCTCAACTCTGTCTCAGACTCAACTCTGTCTCAGTCTCAACTCTGTTTCAGACTCAACTTTGTCTGAACTCTGTCTCAGTCTCAACTCTGTCTCAGTCTCAACTCTGTCCCAGTCTCAACTCCGTCTCAGACTCAACTCTGTCTCAGTCTCAACTCTGTCTCAGACTCAACTCTGTCTCAGCTCTGTCCCAGTCTCAACTCTGTCTCAGACTCAACTCTGTCCCAGTCTCAACTCTGTCTCAGACTCAACTCTGTCTCAACTCTGTCTCAGTCTCAACTCTGTCTCAGTCTCAACTCTGTTCCAGTCTCAACTCTGTCTCAGACTCAACTCTGTCTCAGACTCAACTCTGTCTCAGCTCTGTCCCAGTCTCAACTCTGTCTCAGACTCAACTCTGTCTCAGTTTCAGCTCTGTTTCAGACTCAACTCTGTCTCAACTCTGTCTCAGACTCAACTCTGTCTCAGTCTCAACTCTGTCTCAGACTCAACTCTGTCTCAACTCTGTCTCAGTCTCAACTCTGTTCCAATCTCAACTCTGTCTCAGACTCAACTCTGTCTCAGACTCAACTCTGTCTCAGCTCTGTCCCAGTCTCAACTCTGTCTCAGACTCAACTCTGTCTCAGTCTCAGCTTTGTCTCAACTCTGTCCCAGTCTCAACTCTGTTTCAGACTCAACTCTGTTTCAGACTCAACTTTGTCTCAACTCTGTCTCAGTCTCAACTCTGTTTCAGACTCAACTCTGTTTCAGACTCAACTCTGTTTCAGACTCAACTTTGTCTCAACTCTGTCTCAGTCTCAACTCTGTTTCAGACTCAACTCTGTTTCAGACTCAACTCTGTCTCAGCTCTGTCCCAGTCTCAACTCTGTCTCAGTCTCAACTCTGTCTCAGTCTCAACTCTGTCTCAGACTCAACTCTGTCTCAACTCTGTCTCAGACTCAACTCTGTCTCAGACTCAACTCTGTCTCAGCTCTGTCCCAGTCTCAACTCTGTCTCAGACTCAAATCTGTTTCAGACTCAACTCTGTCTCAGTCTCAACTCTGTCCCAGTCTCAACTCCGTCTCAGACTCAACTCTGTCTCAGTCTCAACTCTGTCTCAGACTCAACTCTGTCTCAGCTCTGTCCCAGTCTCAACTCCGTCTCAGACTCAACTCTGTCTCAGACTCAATTCTGTCTCAGCTCTGTCCCAGTCTCAACTCCGTCTCAGACTCAACTCTGTCTCAGACTCAACTCTGTCTCAGCTCTGTCCCAGTCTCAACTCTGTCTCAGACTCAACTCTGTCCCAGTCTCAACTCTGTCTCAGACTCAACTCTGTCTCAACTCTGTCTCAGTCTCAACTCTGTCTCAGACTCAACTCTGTCTCAGACTCAACTCTGTCTCAGCTCTGTCCCAGTCTCAACTCTGTCTCAGACTCAACTCTGTCTCAGTCTCAACTCTGTTTCAGACTCAACTCTGTTTCAGACTCAACTCTGTCTCAACTCTGTCTCAGTCTCAACTCTGTCTCAACTCTGTCTCAACTCTGTTTCAGACTCAACTCTGTCTCCGTCTCAACTCTGTCTCAGACTCAACTCTGTCTCAGCTCTGTCCCAGTCTCAACTCTGTCTCAGTCTCAACTCTGTCTCAGTCTCAACTCTGTCTCAGACTCAACTCTGTCTCAACTCTGTCTCAGACTCAACTCTGTCTCAGACTCAACTCTGTCTCAGCTCTGTCCCAGTCTCAACTCTGTCTCAGACTCAAATCTGTTTCAGACTCAACTCTGTCTCAGTCTCAACTCTGTCCCAGTCTCAACTCCGTCTCAGACTCAACTCTGTCTCAGACTCAACTCTGTCTCAGCTCTGTCCCAGTCTCAACTCCGTCTCAGACTCAACTCTGTCTCAGACTCAATTCTGTCTCAGCTCTGTCCCAGTCTCAACTCCGTCTCAGACTCAACTCTGTCTCAGACTCAACTCTGTCTCAGCTCTGTCCCAGTCTCAACTCTGTCTCAGACTCAACTCTGTCCCAGTCTCAACTCTGTCTCAGACTCAACTCTGTCTCAACTCTGTCTCAGTCTCAACTCTGTCTCAGACTCAACTCTGTCTCAGACTCAACTCTGTCTCAGCTCTGTCCCAGTCTCAACTCTGTCTCAGACTCAACTCTGTCTCAGTCTCAACTCTGTTTCAGACTCAACTCTGTTTCAGACTCAACTCTGTCTCAACTCTGTCTCAGTCTCAACTCTGTCTCAACTCTGTCTCAACTCTGTTTCAGACTCAACTCTGTCTCCGTCTCAACTCTGTCTCAGACTCAACTCTGTCTCAACTCTGTCTCAACTCAACTCTGTCTCAACTCAACTTTGTTTCAGACTCAACTCTGTCTCAGTCTCAACTTCTGCTTAGCCGACGAGGTGTGCAGGGCGCATGCCCGGTTATTAAAACTAGAAACTGTCCAATAAGCAATAAAGAGGGCGTTTACATCATTCGACCTCGTCTGCCAGTTCCAAAATACAATAATAGGTTTTTTTTCTGGCAACAAAACTGAAACCTTCTTACGAGGATTCATGTCTGCATTAACCACAATACTTGCAGTCAAAATGCAAACAAAAAACACTGATAATAAGTGCATTGTCCTTGAAACTAATTGGTCCACACCAAGGGACGGCTTTCTGCGACCAGAGGACGCCAAAAGTCGTACGCCCTTGACTGCGAGTATTGTGGTTAATGCAGACATGAATCCTCGTAAAAAGATTTCAGTTTTGTTGCCAGAAAAAAAAGGAGAAAAAACCTATTAATTATTAAAGAGGGCGTTTTGCAGATTTGTCTTTGCTATGGTCGGCTGTGCTTGCCCCTGACACGGCTCTGAAGCTGCCGCGAAGTTAGAGAAGTCTCTAAAGTCGCCTCCAAGCATGGGTGTCGTCTCTGCTCTGTCGTGCCGTCACCGCACCGCTGTCGTTCGCATTCAGCGAATCGCATTGGGTGCTGGTGGTGGTGGTGCTGCTGACGCTGCAGTGGTGCCTAAACTCAACAACAAAAGCAACTCTGAATATTCGTCAACAACATTTCGTGGGTCTGTGTGTGTGGCCTTGAAAGGACGAGACATAGAAATATATATCGTCGAGTGTATATAGCAAGCGACGTTTCAGACGATGATCCTTCGTATGTGCTGAAATTCTTTCGCACCGTACGTAGCCAACCGTGCTTATCGGAGGTCGACAACCTTAATAGGAAAAAAAACTTTATTATTTATCTTTAAGTGCTTCATTTAGCCTTTATTTAATAACTAAATACAACGAACTATACACACAAAAAACAGTTCTAAAGGACTTAAAGCTTTCGTGACTGCAGGAATTCATATTCTTTGGGTCCTTCGGTAAAGCCAAGTAGATAGATCTAATAATAATAAAAAAAAATCACGACGTTTCGATCGCAACACAAGCAATCGTCATATATATCGCGGGAGAGCTGCTGAGAAAATATTCGTGATATTGCTATATTTTTTATTTATTTGCTCTATCTACGCGGCATTGCCGAAAGACCCAAAGAATAGAGTTTTAAAGGAGTGCATCTTCAATCTAGATGATAATTTAAGTGTGTGTAGCTACAGTAGCTTCCTAACATTGGAAGGAAGAGCGTTCCAGACGGCTGCAATGCAAGTGACCAGTCTTCGTTCGATGGCCGAGGCAAACGCCGCTGCTGCTGCTGTGAGGATGAGCGGAGTTTGCGTGATGATGGTTTACAGGTCCTTGACGAGATCAAGTTTCATTTATTAGGTGGAGCCCTGTGAGCCATGCGGCTCTTGAGTCGGGTGCAACCGCAACAAAC